ACCTTCACTTAATTAAATAAATAAATAAACCAAAGCTTAAATAACATGACACTACTATCAGTCTATCACTATGAATAAAGATCTTCCTTTCTGGTATAATAATAACACTAACTTGTGTAATAATGAAATTGCATGTGACTAATGATTTAATCATGCATATTAGAAATTAATTAGCTAGAATTTCTAATTGACTTAAATAAGGCATTTTTGGAAAAAGTACAAAAGTGAGAGTTTTGGAGTAAAATTGCTAGTAGGAAAAAGTTGCCCGAAACTTTAAAATAGTTGAATACAACATTATGAAATAATTTTAATGAAAGTCTAAAATCAAGTTAGATGAATTAAGTGGATGAAAGGACATAATTGGAATACACATAAAGTTACTTTGACTTTTAAACATCTTAAAGTGTAAAACACTTAGCAAATCTCACAGCTTCTTCTTCATGTCTTCTTCTTTGTTACCCGAGACACTGTAGCCTTCGAGCTTAAATTTGCAACTTCTTTGTTTCTCAATGAAATCAATTGAAGTAAAGACCAAATTTACTTAGAATTGTGAGGAGAACATAAATTATAAACCACTTTCCATTAAAAAAGCTTTGTATTGAAAGAGAAATTAGGGAGAAAATGGCGACCAATTGTTGATTGGGTGTCTTGGAGCGGTCCATTGCTTGAAGTGAGGCTTACAATCCCTTTCTTGCATGATTCTAGGTGAGTTCATGTTAAGATATAAACATTTCAATGGTTTATATGATAACGGGTGTTTTGGGTTTCCATTTTGAAAGTTTGACTTGAAGGAACATATTAGAGTTTGATTAAGGCTTAGCCCATGTTAAAAAAAATGTTTAGATGAAGATTTTAATGGTGAAAATTTATTTGAAAGATCATTTTGCCCACCTTCCATAAACTTCAAAATTCATGCCTAAATGTAGAGTTTTATTGCATTCTAAGTAATGGATGTTGGAATGTGTAATGTTGATATTGATGGTGTCTATGTGGAATATGTTGCTAGGATTGAGCCTTGTGGACCTTCATTGATTGAGCAAGCATAGAAGAACTCCATGGAGATTGATTTGGCTACTTGAGTTATTCAAGTGTAAGTGAGTTCATGACCTTGAGGGTTAGTGTATGGATTTGCCTATATTGTTGATGAATATAAAAATATTCATTGATGCATTTATTGTTGCAAGTGATTGATTGCATTGTACCTTAATGAAGGAGTTGGTTTGTGAGATTATAGTCTTAATATATATAAAGTTTGGTTGTTTGCAAACTTGGTGGCAAGACAAAGGTTAGATTAGAAGCGACTAAGGTAAGCCTTCGAATCTGGAAATTTATCCTATTATTGTTCCAACAAGCCCTGATGGGATAATGGTTATTGTTGGTGTATGTAATTGCAATAGATTAGCTTAATGAATTGATATATGTATGTGTATGCACTGAGTGTGGCATATGATGGTGTTTTTCTATATTTGTATGTTGCATAACGATGTGTAATTCATATTTGGTAGATTCCTTGGCTAGTAGGACTATTTGCATCCGAGAATCCTAAGGGTGCCGAGAGTTTCGGAGAGATGTCTTATAGAAATATTTTACACATTGCATGGATATGTATATATTGTATTATTTATTGTTATTGCTTTTACACTTGAAGTGAACTCTGGATGGAGGAATCCTCCAAGGATCCCAGGTTTACTGAGATGTTTATCTCACCCCGTATTATGGGAACCCCCTTTCAGGTATAGGCACTAAGGGTGCTAGAGCATCTGTTGGCAGGAGGCTACAATAGATTGACTTGTATTGCATGTTGTTGACATGACTATCATTGTTGTTTATGTTTTGTATTTCATGGACTTGCATATAGCATGTTGTTTAGGATGACTGTAGCATCATATGTTTATATAGTCTTATTTAAGCGTATGTACTGTCGATGCATGGAGGAGAGACTTAGCCTATGATCATTGTTATTGGATATCTTTCATGTTGATGATGCATGTAAAGGACTTTGATTATATGTTTTGCGTTAGTTAAGTTCCTATTTATGTAGTCTATGGACATTTATGTATTTTGATACAATTATGATAAAAAGGCATGTATGCCTATTGAATGATGATATCAGTATTTATTGAACTGCTTATCAGGTTGAGATATCATGTGAGAATTATCCTTAAATGTCTGAAAAACAAACGGAGCTATGTCCGTTTTGTTTGGCCGATGTTGGTAGGAGGTTATCAACTTATGTGATTAAATATCATCATTGTCATATGAAGCCATGCTATTTATGGAATTTTCATGGTGATATAATATGTTTAAGCGGGATTATATCTTTCCGCAATTTATATGAGTTATAATTACAGTTTGAATTGTTTATAAATACGAAAAATATTTTAGTCAAAAAATAATATGTTTTCAAAAGAGAAAAATTTATCCGTGTTTAATCAATTACTCTAATTGTAATTAATGTCATACGTAATAATAATAAACCGCTTCTAGAACAGAGTGTTACATGTATGGCTATTGATGTTTGAAATGTTTGTTTGGCGCAAATGAAAATCAAAATGAGGAAGCAATTAGGAAGATAATCACGTAATACGAGTTAATCCTGAATCTCAATAGAGAAAAATAGTGGTGGCTTGCCACAAGACAACATTCCATGATATAGTATGGTATAGAGAGTGATTTGACACGATGACCGAGAATTAGGCAACTCTATTTTTTTTTTTACATAGTGTAACACAATGGTGTATTAAAATACGTGATAAATTATTATATATTTTTTTAAAGATTGTGTGGCAATCATATATTGATGTGGACTTGCCACCTTGTACCTAGGGTATTCGTCATTGTTGAAGGGCTATCTTATGCCATTGATTTGCTTTCAAATCATTTAGTTCCAACGGCCCGATTGGGTGATGCAGCACTTTGGGATGTGACAATTCGTTTCACATAACTTCGAGCAACGAAAGAAATTGCACCACCTTACTTTGTGAGGTAAGACTTGAGTGCCATAGCAAGAGAAACTCAAAATAAGACTCAAATACTAGAATTATACATGTCAAGTATATAATTGAAGGGAAATATTTTTCTCATGTTGCATGAGATAAATTATTTCATGCAATACACAAAAAAGTGAGTGGGATCCACGAAGAAGAAGGGAGAGAAAGAAAAAAAGTGAGTCTTATTCACTTTTTCGTCTGTTGCATGAGACAAATTATCTCACGTAACATGAGAAAAACATATCTCATAATTGAATTAATCAACTAACCTTTCAAATGCTGAATATTTATAGAAGATGAGTTGGGAGCTAAAAGAATAGAATTGTACCACATGGTACAATCCTTTGAGTACTGCTGTGGTGGATAACAAATTAACAATATTCAATTTAAAATAAAAATAAAAAATACAAATGTTGCCTGACACTCAATTTAAAAATAAAAAATACGAGTTATACGGAGGAGGTAACAAACCAACAATTTTTCTAAAAAAATAAAAAATAAAAATTGGTGCCGTGGAAATAGCTGCACCCGTTTTTTTTTTAAAAAAATAAAAAAATAATAAAAATCAAACCGCGGGGTCGCAATATTGATCACTGCTCAAACATAAATATATTTGGGATCAACACAAGCTCATTTTTTTATTTTTTATTTTTAACTCTTTAAAAGATATTAAAATGGTCAATGAGCGTATATAGAGGTTCCTCACATCTGAAGTGGACCGCTTTAGTTTCTATTGCTTGGAATCACATGGTGTGGTGCAATAGCCAGCGGCGCGTGCCTTCCACGATACGGTGGTCGGTGGAGCTCCAGCTCAGAGCAAGAGCGCATGCCCTGCCCCACAAGCTTCCATGTTCAAAGGTTTTTCACGGTGCTGACAATTACGAAAAGGAAAATGCACAAAAAAGGGTAGCTACAGAGAAAAAAAAAAAAAAAGGGAGAGAATATATGTTTCGGCTAAATATATTTTTGAAGAGAGGGAATAACTTTAACTCTGAATTAGTTTCAAAGAGTCGAAGTCTGTGGAATTAAAGATTTTGAAAATATCAACATGCCTCAAACAATTATTTTGGTTCTGTATTCAAAAACAAAAAACAAAAAAAGAAGAAAAAAACCAATAAATGGCATAGCTGGTAAATTAATTGTGGGTGAGAGTTGTCTCTCCTTAAATATAATTATTATATATATAATAATAAATTTTTAGTTCTAATAGTTAATCATTTCTTAAAAAATATTTATAATAATTAATTTATCTTATTATTTTTAATAACATTTGTAATTTTAGTATTTTATTTTTGCCCCGTCACCAAATTTTTTGGGTCCACCACTGGTTAAACAACTTAACAACTGTGTTAAAGGATCAACTTGAAATTGTGAAAAATTATTTTTACAACATGAAGACAATTAATCTCATAAAACCCATTAAAAAAATAAAAAGGAAGGTTTTTAATTGGGAACGGAGAGCATTCATTCCATACATAATATAATAATATTATCGTATGTTGTTAATAAAAATATTTCAAGCTTAATTATGTTTTTAATTTTTTTATTGTGGCTACTGTATGGTTTTTTTATTTATTATGATTAACATGTAATTTTAGTCTCTAAATAATTTCTTATAGCAATCGATGTAGACAACAACTTTCTATGGTTCAGGCTTATAGAATTTGTAAGTGTTCCTTCTCACATGTAGGGGATAAAAAGAAAAAAAAAAGGGGGATGAAATAATAAAAAAATAATAATTATGAGGGAATCATGGAAAAATTATATCTGCTGGGAGCTTCTAATTTTTTTTCCCTGCGGAGAATACTTATATTACCCATAAATTGAGGCTTTGTCAGCAATGTTCTATTAGAAGCTGGTATCCCTGAGAATCTAGTCAAAATTATTGAAGTCTGTATCACTTCCTCCAAATTCCAAGTTATGTGGAATGGTAGCTGCTCAGATTAGTTCTCTCCCTCTAGAGGAATCCGTCAAGGAGACCCAATATCTCCTTATTTGTTTGTCCTTTGCATGGATAAGCTTTCTCACCTTATAGTTGAGGCTATGGGTAACAATAAGTGGAATCCCATGAAAACTGGAAGAAATGGTCCTACCATCTCCCATCTTATGTTCGCGGATGACCTTGTTTTATTTGGTGAAGCTAACATGGACCAATTAGAGGTGATGATGGGATGCCTCAAAGACTTTTGTGATATATCAGTCCACTTAGTTAGTATTGAAAAGACTACGATCTATTTCTCCAGGAATACAAGTCATATGATCAAGGAGGAGATCACTCGGGCTAGTGGCTTCTCTGTTGCCAATTCTATGGGAAAGTATCTTGGATCTATGCTTTATCATGGCCGAGGGAAGATGAGGAACTTTGCTGGCGTGCTTGAGAGAGTTAAATCTCCTCTCTCCAATTGGAAAAACAATCTTTTATCCTTTGCTGGTCGGGTGACTCTTGCCAACTTGGTTTTAAGCTCTATTCCAATATACCATATGTAACATGGCTCCTTCCCTATCACAGTGCACAGTGATATTGAGAAAATCTAGCGCTCGTTTATATGGGGGGACAGTTTTGAGGCAAAAAAAGTGTATCTCATTGCCTGGGAGAACTTGTGCAAGCCCAGAAATGTTGGAAGGTTGGGTATCCATAATCTAAGAGTTCATAATGAAGCTTTTATACACAAAGTAGCTTGGAGAATGGTCAATAATAAGGAAGCTCTCTGGGCTCAGGTTCTGTCTGGAAAATATGCAAGGAACCTGGATATTAGAAGACAAGTCAAAAATCCAACCTTATGATTCGGCCCTATGGAAAGGATTGGGTCGCATTTGGAATGGATTCCTAGACAACTTGCAATGGGATGTTGACAATGGGAAGGATACTTATTTATGGCAAGATAGGTGGACCAACCTTAAGAAGCCCCTCTGTGATTATGTCTTGCCCAATCAAATGGCTACTGACTTTGAAGCCAAAGTGGTTGACATGGTGAATTTGATAACAGGAGATTGGCTATTAGAGAATATTTCTGATATTTTTTCTTTGAAGGCTGTGAACTCAATTCGAGCTACTTTACCTCCTTCTATTGAGCGTGGGGATGATGGCCTGGTTTAGAAGAGTGCTATTGGGTAAAAGAATGTGGTCAAACTTGCCTATAATAAGCTGATGGAATTTAGCTCTCTTGACCCAGATCCAACATGGAACTTAATCTAGAAGTGGCGGGATCTTCACAGAATTCGATCCTTTGTTTTGTTAGTGTATCATGGGCGTCTTCTCACTAAAGAGTTATCTGCCAATTGGGGTGGGAATCCTCCTGTCATGCCTGTGTTACTCAAGTGGAGAGCATTTTCCATATTCTTTGGGATTTCCCAAAGGCTGCTCAAATTTGGCGTGCTTGGTTCTTAGGGAACCCCCGTTTGATTTCTTTTTAATTCCCTTTGAAGTCTGGATTCAGAGGAATCTCCAAAGAGGGTGGCCTAATAGCCAACTTTTAGCTTGGAAGGATATTTTTGTTACTACTATTTGGTTCCTGTGGAGGTGGAGGAATGGGGAGATCCATGATCCTTCCTTCTCCAGGCCAAATGATCCAGTCCTAGTCATCTCTTCTTACATTAGAGACATTAGAAACAGTCTTCCTTATCAGGTCCATATGCAAAGCAATATAACATCAAACCAAAGTGGTAGATGGAAGGCTCCTCCTAAAAGCTGGTGTAAGCTTAATGTAGATGCTGCGATCAAGGAGAATCTAGCCATAGCTACTTGTGGGGGCCTTATAAGAGACGATCAGGGAAGGTGGATTACAGGTTTTATGTACAAGATTTGTCTTTGCTCCCCCCTTGCTGCTAAACTTTGGGCCATCTTCAAAGGTATTCAGGTGGCTTGGGATTGTAGAGCCCAGCAACTCCTTGTTGCGAGTGATTGCTTGCAGGCTGTCCAAACTATTACTAAGGAGGATGTTGGCTGCTGCCATCACCAACTCATTAGCAGCATAAAGAGCTGGTGCAATAGAAGCTGGCAAATCAAGATTGTCCATGTGAAAAGGAATGGAAATATGAGTACTGACTATCTTGCTAACTGGGCAGTATCTAGTCAAGAGGCTTTTGTGATCTTCACTACAGCCCCTGATAGGATGAGTCCTATCTTGGAAGCTGACTCTATTTTCATGTAATTTGTTTTGGGTGCTTGCCTCTTTGCTGTACTAAAAAAAAAAAAAAAAAGCCTCTGGTGAGTTCACAAAAACGTTTTACTCGTTAAAGTGACTTTTAATGGTAACCAACGTACTAACTTTTATTAGCAATTGGACGTGTAATTGATGGAAGAGCTTATTTTTTAATTAAAAAAATTGGAAGATTTAATTGTTGCAAAAAAAAATTAAAAGACTAAAATTATAGATTTATTATAACAAAGGGAGCAAAAGTGTAACTAAGGCAAAAATTTAAGAATTTTAGTATTTTTTTTCAATAACTTTTTATACAAGAATGGAGTTGTTATTCTACATCATATATTCTCTTGGTTATTGAGATACTACTAATTATTTGTTTGTTTTCACAATAACGTCTAAAATTTTAAAACCTTATTAATATATCTCACGAGAATAAATTGCCAAAAGCACTTGGGGGTAGTATATACTTAAAGTAGAATCCTTCAATTCGAACTGAAGTTATATAACTATCACAAGTAAAGTTGATTAAGCGTGCCAATAATTATTGGCTGTTGATAATTAACTTTATAATCCTTAAAAGGCTTAATCAAGTTTCTGATGTTTAAATATATATTTTTGGGGTAATACAGGAGGGATTAATTTCCCTAATAAGAAGCAACATAGACAAACACTCGGTGTCGTGTGTTCGTACTTCGTAGTTTAGTTGGTAAGAGTTAGAAATGTTGTTTGCTCACAAATGCTATTCATAATTTCATATCAATTTTATTTTCCCAATGCCTTACCTCCTTCCTTAGGGTCTGTTTGGTATGACGTATACGACATGATAGTATAAACTTATACTATACGTTATGACATTTTCAGTTGTTTGGTGTGACCACCGTATAGTATAAGCTTATACAGCATAATCCCTTAATACATCAAAACGATGTATAACTTAATTCGGCCTAAGGGTGAGGGATAAGACCTGATAAGAGATTGATGTATTAACATCGTTGACCAATGTAATTCTCAAAAAATAATATATTATTTTAATATTAATTTATTAAAAAAAAAATTTATTTTTCAATATATTAATTTTTAAAATATTGAATATTTTTATTTTTATAAAAATTAATTTATATTATGGACACACTGATCAATAAATTTTTATAAAAATTAATATCATATGACATTTTTTGAAGAATTATATAAATTCTTTATTAAAGGATATTTTTATTAAAGATATTTATTTTTATCATATATAGTATTATACAGTGCATTACCAAATACTAGATGATATTATCTTATACAATATATTAATTTATACAATACCGTGCCAAACGCTTGATAGTATTAAAATTCAATCAGGTCTTATACTATCAGGCCTTATCCTATACTATGCACCAAACATGCCCTTAGTCTTCATTAACCGATAAAGGTACACAAGATGGGTCTTTCCACTATATTTACAAAATAAATCCTTAATAGCCTAATTAATTTAAAAAATAAGAATAATAAGAAGAAGAAGAAATAAACATACGCAAGCCATTAGAATTGATTTAGTGGTAAGAATTTCGGTAGATTATGTGTTTAATTTTTACTTATATAAAAATATAAAAATGAACATATACCAACTCAATGATTCATCGTTCATAAACTACCGCTTCTATGACATTACGAGGAACCACACTGGCTGTGCGAATTCTCAACCCTTCTCCATCAGGATGAGAAATCATTTTTTAGGGATGAAAATTTGGGTCAACACCATATAAACTTAAAATTGGGTTAAAAATCTTTGATCCAAATATGACTCACTTTTTTTGCGGGTTGATATGACATGACATAAATAACCTGTAAACTCATAGTGTATCGTTTATTATTATGTGGATTGACATGACACAACACAAATAACTTATGAATCCAAAATTATGTTACTTATTATACGGATCAACACGACAGAACAAGACACGAATAACCTGTTTAGACACGACACAAATAACTTATAAACAAATTAATGCGTTTCAATTTTGGGTTCGCGAGCGCGACATGAATTTTTTCGGGTCAATTTTTGCCAATCCAAACATGACACGAAAATGAAAACTAGTTGATCCAAACACGAAACTTTTGTATTGGGTTCGAGTCGGGTCAGCGAGTCGGGTCAGCGAGTCATGTCATATATTGCCACCCCTATCCCTTTTTAATTTTTTTTTATGATCTTAGTATATTTAATTTATTGATTTCAATTTCTCAACTTAAAATTATGATCTCATGGCTAAATTATAAAAAAATTGAAGAGGTAGGGAGTAAAATGAATATAAAGTAAAAAACCTATCTGAGTATACTACATAAATGTATTATTAAATCTAGAGCGTTGGACTATATTATTCTGGAACAGTGACCGTTTTGCCACACTTCAACAAATTATTTACCAGAGTGCCATGTCAGTAGTAAAAATTTCTGGAATACCATTCGCTACACTGTGCAGCGAATTATGTTTGTAAATATTCGCTACACAGTGTAGCGAATTATGCCATGTTAGGCTGCACAGTCAGCAAAAATGACACATGTCAAGCAGGCAGTAATTCGCTACATTGTGTAGCGAATTATTTGCAAACATAATTTCCTGCACAGTGTAGCAAATTATGCCGCGTGACATTTCGAGAATTTTTGCTATCAACGTAACAGTCTGGTAAATAATTTGACCAGACATGACAAAATGGCCGTGTTCTTATTATTCTTATCATCTCACAAAATTATATAAAAAAAAAACACAAACATCTTAAATAAATGGAACTTTATTAAAATTTAAAACAATTCTATCTAAAATATTTGTGTCAGTCTTTTAATCGTGGGGATTATACTTGAAATTATTTAAGAATTTATTTAAAGCTCACCTGTCACATTGCAGAGAAAGGTTATTGGTTGGTCGGCACTCTGGTCGAGTTATCACAGCCGGTGAGAGAAAGACACGTGCTATAATTTAAAGGTGGGGCCCATGAGCCTAGAGATACTAAAACTTCAATTATTTGGGAGGACACCCGATGAGAAAACGACGTTAGTTATGTTGTAACCGTACATGGGACCCACGGCATCAACTTGTTGGCCTGTGTTATTTACCATCCTTACATTTCAACCGTTGGTTTGGCGGTTACCTTGGGCTCATCAAAATATCCTTCATTTAAGAAAATAAAAATAAAAATGAGTTTCTTCTTCTACTTTTTTTATTGTGTTAATAAATAAAGGAAAAACTACTCTTCTATTACATGTGATATCTTTTTTTCCTACATATTTTTCGATAAATGTGCAATTTTTTTCTTTTATTTTTTATTTTTCAGGTGATGTAGTTCACAAATTTATCTTTATGACATATCTCCTTTAGGATGAGATTAATAAAACCTAGAAATAAATCAGTTTAGACAAAAAGGTTTAATAAGTATGGGATAGGATATTGTGACACACAAATAATGTTACGCACAATGTTACGACCACATCTTAACCGTTGATTTTCGCCAATCAACGATTATCATTTTTCAAATCAAACTCATTAATTAATTATTAATTCACAAATAGGAAAAGATTATACTTATAACCTATTTTCGTTTACAACTTCTTACAATCATATCTTAATCGTTGATTTTCGTCGTTCAACGGTTAAGATTTTCGTTTATTAATTAATTATTAATTTACAATAAATAACAACTATTAATTAGCGAAAATCAACGATTAAGATATAATTGTAAGAATTTGTAAATTATTTGGGTGTTAAATATAACATCTTCGAGTAATATATATATATATATATATATATATATATATATATATAGGGACAGGATTCATTTACAATTTTTTTTTGTAATTACACTAATGTAGGACCGGTCGTACACTCTGTGATTAATGTAGGATCGTACACTCTGTGATTAATGTATGACCGGTCCTACATAGTGTAGTTTGTAAACAAAAAAGTTTGTAAATATAACCTGCCGCATATATATATATATATATATATATATATATATATATATATATATATATATATATAAGGTTTAATAAGTTGGTCCGAGGGTGGTGTTTAACTGTTTACGAGAGGAATGTCTCTTCCGTTAGCAATTTTCTTTTTTGGTACACTTCTGTTAGCAATTTAATCTATTAATAAAACAAAATATTATACTTACTATCATTTTAAGGTTTATTTGGATGATTTTTTTCTTCAAAAGTTACTTTAAAAAAAAAACACTTCATAAAAAAATTCATTTGAATGCTTACTTTTAAAAAAAGCAGAAGTCATAAAAAAAGGCAGATTTTTTTTAAGCTAAAAATTTTAGCTTCTAAAAAAAACAGAAGTTAAAAGTTATTTTTTTTCTCAAAATTTAAATAACTTTAGCTTTTGTAAAAAGTACTTCTAAAATAAGTAAAGCATAAAAAGTACTTTTTTTAAGTTCATCCAAACGGACTCTTAATTAGTCTTACTATTCTTACCATCTGATTAATTTAAAATTAATGACAATTTCCTATTTTTTAATCGTTAATTTCAAATTGATCAATCGATAACTAATCATATAGTAAGAGTAATAAAATTAAAATGATATTAAGTATATCCGCCCCAAATAAATTACTAATAATACTACCCTTGGTTATACTTTATATAAAAAATTATATTTTATGATACTAATAATTAAGTCACATTTTAGGTTGAGTCAGTCTATTTTGATGGTATGTAATGCTTAAAATTTTTTAATTAGTGATATTATATAAAATTTTGTTTTAAATTGATAACTTTTACCTAATATGATAATGTTTTGGAATTTATATAAATTATTTTAAAATTATATTATGAAATCTCATCTGATTTTAATTTCTTACTTTTAAAATTTTATGACATAACTATACAGGCTTTTTCACCCTTTTGCCCCTTATTAATTAATTAATAACTATTTTGCCCCCGATTCGAAACTATTTATCAATCTGGCCCTCTTTAGTCGACTACCTTGCATTTTTAATCGACTAAATAGCCAAAACAGACAAAAAATGGCTGCTGGGAGATTTAGTCGACTAAATCTCCCTATTTAGTCGACTAAATCTTCATATTTGACCCAAAAAAAAATAAGTCAGTATGATTGTAATCGATTAAGTAGGGAGATTTAGTCGATTAAATCTCCCAACAATCGTTTAGTCGATTAAAAATGCAAGGTAGTCGATTAAAGAGGGGCATATTGGTAGATAGTTTCGAATCAGGGACAAAATGATTATTAATTAATTAATAAGTGGCAAAAGGGTGAAAAAACCTAACTATACATAATATCTAAATTTGTTTTTTGTTTTCCTTTCTTTAAATATCAGGTTGACCTGAATCACCTGATCCTATCATGTGCATTGGCAAGCTATGTACGAGCCAATTTTGAGTTAAATAAATAGCTTGGTTAAAATACCGAGTCAAGTTTGGGCCAATTTGAATCTATCCTAGCCTATTCCAGGCTGTGTTTGGTTCAAGGGTTCTAAATTTTTTTCCATCTAAGTGCATATGGCAATCTTTGTTCTCCTTGTTTGGTGGAAAGATTTCATAACTTTTATCCATCAAACACACTTGTTCATCTAATTAGAAATATGTGTAAAAAATGGATAAAAACACTGTTGATGAATGCTCTTTGAGACATAGTATTCCTGTCAAAAATCGAAGAAATGGAAAAGTGGATGAATACAATGACATTAATACCCCTCTTTTTATATGTTGTAATAGTTCAAAATTTTATAAAAAAGGTTGCTTTCGTAAATTCCATCTATTTTCCCATCAAATTTTTAATTTTAACCAAACATACACTCAGCATATTTAACCCAATTTTTCTACTAATATTTTACGGTACCAAACAACTTTTTTTAAACTTTCCTACCAAATTTACTTTCCAACATTTTTCCTTGTATTTACATTTTTCTAGTAAAAAAAAATATCTCATGAACCAAACATCCCCTAAATATTCCTATTTATATGGGTTCACTTCGGCACTGTCTTCTAAAAAGAAAGTATAATGTTTTTTTTTTTTTTTTTTTTGTAAAAAAGTATAATGTTTTCTTTGAAATTACAAATTGAATGAAAAAAGTTTATAACTTTTATTATTCTGTCAGTTATTTCTCATATGTCTGAAAATTATATTATTCAGCGGGTAGTTTTTATTATTTAATTTTAAAAAAATAATACTCTACCTTTTCTTTGAAAAAAAAAAAAAAACCAAAACGGATGTCTAATTTTAAATATTCTAAAATGAATCCAATTATGAGAGTATATTAGTGAGGGAAGATTTCAGTTTAAGTATAGTTCAAAAGTAACACATCTAATCAAATCTAACAGTGGCATGTAGAACAGAAAACTAAAGTTAAAATTTTAAATCAATTTCAAAATATATATTGAACAGTTGGCTTAATATGCTTGGAGGCTATAAGAATTAAGAAATGAAGAATTGCTCTTTGCTGAATCTCATTGACCAGTGCGGAGCAGGTAAGCTTCCATAATTCATCATGTGCTGCCAATCCTCATTTCTTTTCACATCTCAAACCAAGAAGAAAAATAATAATAATCAAAGTGATCAAATTAATGAATAAATAAACCAATGAAAGTCTATGAAGAATTTTCTTTATTATTATTTTTGTGAAAAATGCTCAGAACAGAGAGTGTCAATTATACAATAAGAGGGAACTTTTGCTATAGTTGCATATAGCACCCACAAACACATTACATCCAATCACAGCTCACCAACTTCATTTTCTTTTTTCTTGGTTGCTTCTATCTGTTAGAAAAATTTATCAAAGTTTATTTAGATTCATCCCTTGAAGCTTTGGTTACTTACTTGCTTTTAACCTCTTTGTCATGAGTTGGCTTGTATGTTATTATTTCTTCTCTTTTCTTCTCTTTGTTCCTCAGGCAGGGAAAATGGAGAAAGAACAGTTTTTTTAGCATCAGCTTTTCTCTCATGCTCATAAATTCTGAGTCTTTCTGCTGTTTCCTAATTGGGTTTTCACATTCATTGTGTTTGGCTTCTCCCCTTCTCCCTTTCCTTAGCTTCTAATATCTTTCCCAATTGAGTTAAGCTTAAGTTGAAGCTGCAGAAGAAGCATAAGTTTTTCTCACTAAAAGTTGTTATTTTCTTTTTTGTTTCTCTTAAAAATAAATAAATTACAAGCAGTTTCTAGTTCTTTTTTAATTGGTTATTGCTCTGTGTCTCAATTCCAGTTTAGTATCTGATAGGTAAGTTCATTGGGTTTATAGATCTTACAAGTGGTTCTAGGGTTATCCTTTTGAGACCAATCAGATAATATATAATAGTCTTTAACATCAATTTGTAGCATTCTCTCTTATTTTTTGATCAAGTGGGTCTATTCTAGAATCCTGAGGAGTCTCATACTCATTGATAAAGGTATTCTGATTCCTTTTAAAATGCTTGTGGATTTATCCTTGATGTTGTTCTTGTAAAACCTCCACCTCTGCTCTCATTTCTCTCTGCTTTATCTTCCTCTGTTTCCCTCCATCAAGTTTTAACCTTTCCTTTGAATTCCTTGACCTTAAGACCATAAATCATTGATTCTATGCAGCAACAGCTTGTCTTTGTAAATTGATTTGATGAAGTGGGAAATGGAAATCCTCTCTTCTGCACCTTGTACTCCAAACTCCAACTCAGACTCCGATTGGTTTGTGGAAGACAACAGGAGCAGTAAATGGACTCGTACAGAGAACAAGCTGTTTGAAAATGCTCTTGCAGTGCATGATAAGGATACCCCAGATCGGTGGCACAAAGTGGCTGAAATGATACCGGGAAAAACAGTTAGGGATGTGATGAGGCAGTACAAGGATTTAGAAGTTGATGTTAGCAATATAGAAGCTGGTTTGATCCCAGTTCCTGGCTATAGTACTACTACCTCACCCTTCACCTTAGACTGGGTCAACACTCCTGGGTATGATGGCTTTAAAGGAAGTGGAAAGAGATCTTCCTCAGTGAGACCTCCTGAGCAAGAAAGGAAGAAAGGAGTGCCATGGACTGAAGAGGAACATAAGTAACTTTTTTCCTTTTGCATTTGTTTTCATACATATTATTACTATTATTATTATTATTATATGATGTTAATTTAACACTGTGTAAAAGATTTTAGGGTTTAGGGTTTAATATATGATATTATGATCAGTTGGGAATGTATATCTGTATGAAAACATGGTGATTGTATGGAAAGCTAGAATTGGTGGATGGAATTTAAAGTTAATTTTAAAGGTAGGAACAATAATTCTGTGTTGATATTTCCTATTGGTAGCTAGGTCTTTTAGCTTTATTGAGGTAGCTGCTATGAGGAGTTTGTTTATTCTTTACTTTTGGTTTTGGAGTTTAACTATACTTGTTTTTGATATTCACACAGATTGTTTCTATTGGGTCTGAAGAAGTATGGCAAAGGTGATTGGAGAAATATTTCCCGCAACTTTGTTATTACTCGAACCCCAACTCAGGTAGCTAGTCATGCTCAGAAATACTTCATCAGACAACTTTCAGGAGGCAAAGACAAGAGAAGAGCTAGCATCCATGACATAACAACGGTTAATCTCACAGAAACCATCACAACTTCTTCAGAAGACACCAATAGATCCACTTCACCACAGCATTCCATGATGCAGCAAAATTCTACTGCCACTACACCTAGAACTCATTTTCAGTGGAATAATCAGCCAAATGCAGAAGGAGCTATGCCTCTCAACCCTGCATATGAAAAAGTCTTCATGTCTCCTTATGGTGTTAACTCCTTTGGGCTTAAAATGCAGGGTCAAAATCTGCACAAGGGTGTTCATGAGTCTTCTTACTTAGGACCTCAGACACATAACATGGTTTTCCAAATGCAACAGTCCTCACAACACTATTCCCATGCATAATGGTCGTTGTAGTGAATTATTAATGGTTAGAATCAGGATCTTCTGTTCAGTTCAATAGTACGTATAGTGTTTGTGCTTTTTCCCAAGTTCCATGTGAATATCTTACATTAGAATATTGGTTAGTTCTTGGTATATGAACTTGAAGGAAGGTACAGACATTTGTTTCTTCAACAAATAAAAGCTTCCTGAAAGGCACAAGCCGCGAGGCTAGCAAGTCCCCAGTGTTGGGTCAAGGGTTGTTTTTCTATGTTGTCTGAGAATAATGGATTTCAAGCCAAGTTTATGATGAAATGTCAATTTAGAGGAAAAGAGGAACTTTAAGTTTGAAACTAGCAAGGCATTTTTTAGTGGGGAAATGATCCGTTTACAATTTTGTTTTACAAATTACACTAAGTATAATCGGTCATACACTCTTGATTAGTGTATGATCGATCAGACATAGTATAGTTTGTAAGAGTTTGTAAACAAAAAATTTGTAAATATAACATTCTCCTTTTATACATGCGGAGGTTACTGTTAGTGGTATTGTATTCAAAGCAATGTGATTTGAAACCTATTCTCCTTTGTGTAAAGTGACTGATGCCAAAAACTGTAAATTAAAGTTTATACCCAAAACCAAATGATGGTAGATAAGTTGGCACAGAAACCTGAGTAGTAGAAGTGAGAATATGTATTCGATCTTCTTCATTAACTCTTTGGGGGAGTTTTAAAATCTTAATCTCGGGACTCATCCTGTATCGAACTAGTCGAGAATTGATGAACTGATTGAAATATTTAAAAAAGAAAAAGAAAAAATTATAGCAGCAAGGCGACAAGTTGTTAAAAATAAATATCTTTAAAACCTAATCTCCTTTTGTGTAAGTTTACGAACTGCATGGAGATCTTGCGATTTGTTATAACAGACAAGGAGTTAATTAATGGGATTAGCGAATTTTTTTTATCATAACTCACTATTAGTGTGAGACAATATTTCAATTTGATTTATAGATATAACTGCACCCAAAAATGGTGTAAACAATTAATCAAACCCTATAAGCATCCGATTTGACGACTCTACTAGTGAAGGTCTATTTTCCCTTTTTCCTTCTTGTTTTTCTGTTTTTTTTTACTAGGAAGAAGGACTATCTGTATATCTTTGAACACTTCTGGGTTTGGAATTTGGATTCTCATTTAAAATCAGTTGAATCACAGAGCACTCAATTTATAATTTTTGTCTAGCATGGCACTCAATTTTAGGTATAAAAGTATTTGATGACCTACTTTCTTTTCTGATATTTTTTTTTTCTTTTTAAGAATTTATTCTAACAGTGTGACACTATTTATGGCCAAGTTGAATTTAATTAACCTTTACATTCGATGCTGACTTTTCATGCACTAATTCTAGCATTACGTGATTCAAGCGCTATTCTATTCTATTGAACAAAAAAAAAAGTCCCATTCCTTTTTTGTCTGTCGGTTCATGATTATAAATGAGATATTTCCTTAGGGATTCCCTTAGAAAGAGAAGATTCCTTCTAGGTCGATCACTAATTATTTAATTAGAATAATATATGTAACAAAGTGAGATTCAAGAGTGATTAGACAGCTATAATATTCTTAGCAAAGTGGGTTTGGTCCTGTAAGATTGTAACAGTAGTACAGTACTGTGTACACATAGTCCAAAGAAAGCATCAGTCTTTGTGATTCTATATGTACGGTGCAGCCCTTAAAACAAAAAATTAAATGTTTCACTGTTCTCTGCATCTCGGCTCAAATCGTTGATCCCATTTACGGAGACAAGAAGCTAACCTTTTATTTTGGCAAAAGAAGTCTTTAGCTTTTCTTAATCAGATCCCATTATGGAATAATATTTCTTTATTTCCAATGAACTTAATACCACGTTATTTTAAAATTATAAAATTAAAAAATTATAATAATAAAGACTAATATAATCCTGCAATATATTATAATTACAAAAATATCTAAATTTTCATTCCAAAACATCATCATTTCAGGCTCATCGAAAATAATATATCTTTGTTGACCGAAAAAATCATTTACCTTATATATATATAAAAATAATACTTTTCTTTTGTCATCTTTTTCTTCTGTTGACACATGAATAGATGGGTCCCTAATATTTTTATTGGGCTCCATCTGTCTCATCTATTAGTAAGAGAATAATTTTTTTTCCTGCAACATAAGAATTTCTTTTTATCTATCGGCATCATTTTTTTGGTTTTGCACACAGAAAAACTGGGTACCATTTAAAAAAAAAAAAAAAATCTGCATATGTATCTTGACTTTCTATGCTATAAAAAAAAAATTCAGCAACAATAACAAAAATATAAAAGCCATATATATATATATATATATATATATATATATAGTAAAATCATTTCTACAGCCACTTTACGTACAATAACGACAGGTGTATGGTTATGATTCTTCACATTTAATGCTTTCATCCTTTGTATGGTTATGATTACCCGCATTTAATGCTTTCAAGTATACATATGACAAGTATTTGATTGCTGCACATAAAGCGATCAAATACTTGCCATATGTATACTTGAAAGTATTAAATGCGGGTAATCATAACCATACAAAGGATAAAAGCATTAAATGTGGGGAATTATAACCATACACCTGTCGTTGCTGTACGTAAAGCGGCGAGCAGAAATGATTTTACCATATATATATGGGAAAAATATTTCTCAAGCTGCTTGAGATAAGTTTATCTCTGGCCACCCCAAAACTACGTCGTTTTGTTTATTTATTTCGTTATATTAATTGATTTACCTTTGAATGGTTATGATTCCCTTTTTCTCTCTCTTCCTTTATCACCGTTGATCCATCTTTGTACGGTTATGATTTAGTAGCCGGAGATAACATTATCTCAAGCAGCTTGAGAAACGATAAGCCCTATATGGGGAAAATATTTCTGCAGCCACTTTAGATAAGCTTCTCTACAGCTACCCATTTTTTACTAAGTACGACCGGTCGTACATTAAAATTGCATTTTCGCTCTCCGCCACGTCAGCCAACAATGTCTGAGGAAAGAGAAAAAAAGAACAACTTTATTTTTATCACTAAGTACGACCGGTCGTACTTAGTGAAAAAGGGGTAGCTCGGTAGCTGTAGACAACCTTATTAAAGTGGTTGTAGAAATACTTTTCTCTCTCTCTATATATATATATATATGATTATTTTGTTACTAATATAAGATTATTTTGTTACTAATATAAAGGATTATAATTTATTAAATTCCACGCACACGATAGATATCCAATGGCACAAGTATTGTGGTCTACCACAATTAACATAAAATAATTAATTAAATTACTAATACAGTGATTTTGTGGATATCTTTTAATTAAGTGCATATTTAAATTAAGGGATAAAATATTTTACTTATTTCTTTTTCTGCCTACCAGCTATTGCTTTTCAACATTATTAAACCAGAATCTCAATAGTGGAAAGAAATTATAAAGATAATTGAAAAAATTTAGAATTAAAATGTTTTCCCTAAATTTTCTTTTCCCAAAATTCAAAACTGAAGTAAAACTTGATCAACACGCTAATGGCATGGTCGATTACGTACCACTAATCCTCTTTGATTAAAGTTGGGAATAGAGGTGACAAAGTGGGTTGTCCGTCCCGCCTCGCTTTTGAAATTGGATTGAAAAATTTGGTTCGTTCCGTCCCGTTTGGCGGGTTAGTCCGCCAACCGGAGCCTATTTTATACTGATCCATCTCGGCCCGTCTATACCCTCCATCAACCCGTCAAAAAACGAGTCTGCCCCATCGCACCTCACTTTTGAGATGAATTGAAAAAATTAGCTCGCTCCATCCCATTTAACGGGTGAGACGGATTGACATGCCGAGTCGATTTTATTTTGCCGGCTCTAGTTGCCAAGATCAAAGGATTCTAACAATCTGTGTGCTACTTGTTGGGCTTCCTCCTTCAATGCTAAGCCCAAGCCCATTTGAGGGGTTTCCTAACCCTAACCCTAATTTCCACCTCCTCTATATATACTCATTAGTTGAGGGTGGAGGCTAGGTTAGATTTTGAGAGGTCAGATTTGAGAGAACAAATTTGAGAGAATTATTTGATTGTTTGAGCAAAAGCTTTATGCTTTGCATTTGAGAGATCTCTAGAGAGAGTTTGAGTGAAACATCTCTATGGTAGTTTGATTATCACCATTGTTGGAGAGGTTGAGTTAACCACCACATTGGTGTATTTGATTATTTGTAACCATTATTTTCATAGTGGATTTTTGATCTGGACTAGGTCCCGTGGGTTTTTACTTCTTCATTGGAGAAGGTTTTCCCACGTTAAATCTGGTTGTGTTCTTCTTCTCTCTCTCCTGTTTTCATTTTGATTTTTCCGCTGCGCTGCCTGACCTGGTGAAGTTCAGGTTGAGGTATTGCCGAGATCCGAGATCAGGATCTTGTTGATTGACTTCCACACAAAGGCCCCTGAGCCGAGCTTAAGGGAACCGAGTTTTCCTAACAGTGGTATCAGAGCCCAAGTTCGACGGGTTCTGAGGGAGAAGAGATGGAGACCAGTGGCATAACTCATGATGGAGATATGTTCAAGTTGACCGCAGACAATTTCACATATTGGAGACAGATGATGGAAGATAATCTCTACTGCAAAGATTTGCATGAGCCCATTATCCTTGATGAGAGACCGGCATGTAAAACTGATAAGGAGTGGGAGATCCTGAGTCAGAAGGCGGTAGCCACGATCAGGAAATATATTGATAAAAGCCTCTTTGAGCACGTGTCCGAATTCACAAACGCGTATGAGTTGTGGACGAAATTAGAGTCCATGATTCAGAAGAAGACTCCCAGGAACAAAGCACACCTGGTTCGCCGACTTGTTAAGCTTGAATACAAGGACGACATGAGCATGATTGAACACCTGAACACCTACAAACGTATTGTGAATCAGCTGTCAAAGGCTGATATGAAAATTGATGAAGAATTGCAGGCATTGCTGCTGTTGAGCTCGCTGCCAGAAAGCTGGGATACTCTGGTGGTGACCCTGAATAACTCGACTCCAGATGGAAAATTGAAGATGGATGTCGTGACAGACAGCCTCCTGGGCGAAGAATCCAGGAGAAGAGAACGAGGTACTTCGAGTACGTCTGAGGCCAACGTTGCTGAGAACAAAGGGAAATCCGACTCCCGCGGTAGAAGCAAAAGCCGAGGTAGAGGTCGTGACAGACGAGACAAGTCCAGAGGTCGGTCAAAGCCGAAATATGAGTTAAAATGCTTTTAATGTGGAAAGACAGGCCATAGGAAGCCAGACTGCTGGACCCTACAGAATGATGAGAAGAACGGCTCTGTGAAGCCGGATCAGATTATTCCCAAGAAGAGGGAAGACAAGAGCACCACTGCGGTGGCTGCAAATCCTGATGCTGAGATATTCCTCCTTGGTGAGGATAATTATTTGAATGTTGCTTATGATGACTGCACCTGGATTGTTGACTCCGGTGCCTCCTTCCACGTTACTCCACACAAAGGTTT